CAAACTTCCAGAGTTACAGTTGTATTTCAGAAATCGGTCTACATTGCATATCTAAGAGAGAGAGAGAGAGAGAGAGAGAGAGAGAGAGAGAGAGAGATTATAGTGTAAAATATCTTTACTGCTTAGGTCAAGATGTGTCAGATTTTTACACTAAAAAAATTGAACTTAATTGATATAGAAGGAATTTTTTTTAAGAGAAATTAGGTAACAAAAATCATTTACTTAATTTCTTCAGGAATTTGTGCTTTTTTAAAGTTTAAAACTATCTAATCAAAATTAAAAGGTTAACATAATCTATTTTCATGACTGTCAAGCAAGTACTTTGTTCTTAAGATTAAATTTAATTAAGTTATACAATCATAAAGTATAATTCATTTTAGGATATTTCTCATTGCAATAATATTTTTAACCCCCCCCCCCCAAAAAAAAATTAAACAGAAAACGAAGTTCCCAGAACTCCTCTTACAATTTACTTTATAACCTAATCAACTTTTAAGAATGGTGATAGCTTCCAGAACTTAAATGTTTTCATGAGGGAGGTTAATTGCATTGTGATAAAAAAAATCCAAAAAAAAAACAAAAAAAAAAAAAAAAACAAAAAAAAAAAAAACCAAAAAAAAAAAAAAAACAACAACAGCATTATTCTTCAAAAACTATGTTCCAAGAATTCCCCAAGCCTTCCATTTAATGCAGTAGCGAAATCAAGGAATATGAAAGGTGGTGTCCTGTAGAAAAGCGATTGATTAGGTTTTGTTATTTTCATCTCGGAGAGAGTGAGAGCCAAATATTGTAATTTTTAAACACAAAATCGTTCTTTTTATAACTCATTTTGTTATAAGAAATTCTTATCCATGGACCACATGCTCACCTGATCATTTTATGCTGAATTTCATACATGCATATGTATGTAAATAATTTAATTACTATTGTTGCTTCTTCACTATTTACCTTTTTTTTTCGTTATCTTCATATTTCACCCAATTACACAGACAAAACGTTTTAGAGGCAAACACTATCCTATGGCAGTATTTCGTTTCCTTTGATAATGAGATCCTCTTTTATTAATATACTAAAGAGGGAAAGGGCAGAAAAATATTTTTTTTTAAGGGGGCCGACTGTTGTTTTCATTGCGCAATACACCGCGCAGCATAGTAAAATAAAGCTTATTTACTTTTTTAAGCAACTATTTTTACATAATTTACAAAAATTAACAAAATTAAGAAATCTCAGGTTAAAAAATCTAATTACGTTTTTAAATAACTGATATTTTAAACGATTTTTCAAATGATGGGTAGATAGACGTCGTAATAGTGTATTTTTGACGTAATGAATAACGGAAGTTCTTTAAGAGGAGTCATTAATTAAGTCATAAAATAAAAAGTATAAAATAGAGGCTCTTGAAATTTTAAACATACGAAATTGATAATCTCACAACCATTTTTATTATTTTGTATATAAATCTGTGGTATCTGTCATGTTAATGTAGTGCTCCATAAAAACAGGAAAATATCATGATTTTTGACATTTTGAGATCCCCCCTCTGGAAACCAGACGGAGAAATTTTGTGTTTCTTGCATATAATGCTAAATATAGTATTACTTATCAAATAATATAATTTTAGCTAAAAGTCTATAGTAACATTTGTATAATTTGCTACGAAGCGCGAAAAAATAGTATTTTCCTATATAATCCTATAGTATCATGTACCTGTATTTTGAGATGGTCCCTAAAAATAACTAGACGGTAGATTTTCACTAAACTTGGCATGTATACTGAAGTCAATGTAAAGAACATATGGTATAAAATGAAAGAGTTTCTCTATAGTAGTTTACACACAATAAAACCCCAGTCGGCTCCCTTAACTGCATAGCCTAGATATGAGAGAATCGGTCAGTGAAATATCTAAGCACTATAGCGAAAGCCTAAAGTTCCTCATCCCACGAAATGTATCACATCACAAGTTTGTCAACACATCTAGTTATACTACTAGATACACTTGTGATATACATAATCCTCTACTATTTACATATACTTAACAATTTCTTTACTTTTACAATAGATTCAAGGTTCATAACAATCTTGCTTTTGCATCGGTAATGTAAAGGCGAAGATAACGGCAGTCTGTTGTGCAGTTAGATGTGATTTTTTTGCTCCACAGAATGTCTGGTTCATTGTCTAAGTGAAACTGGAAGGGTTGCCGATTCATCGCGAAGGGGGCGTACGTGCGTATAATTCTTGAATACAAGGCTATTTATATTGCCACCGGTAGAAACACTATATTGTTGAAATACTGGAGAAGAATGTAGGAAATAAACTTTGCGAACGAACAATTTCTAGCTTGCCTAAGCCATCATTCTTATGGAAAACTTTCATTAATATGCAGATGTATACTGGAAATAGAGAAACACAGGGTATGTGGTGATTTTATATTTCACATGTACTATATTGTACTAGTTTATTGTTATGTTTTTCTCCCAAGTATTGATATGAATCATTCATAACGAAAAAGGTGAAGATAACGATGAGTAAATAATTGATTAAAAAAAAACGAAGAATGCAAATCCCTGAACAGGGCATAAAACATGGATCCACGGAAATTCCAGAGGCGAGATCAAGTGCCTAAGAGGAGTAAGCATCCCCTGTCGACCGCTGTCACACCTACCCCCGGGGGCCCTACCTGTATTGATCAGGTAGACAGAATATTCCGTGGTCAAATTAAGTATGAAAAGGACTAACAATTTGTATAGTAAACTTCAGCCAAAATGTGACACAATTATAGGTTGTATATTATAACAACCATCGAATTTACGAAATGATGGGTCTCAATTCAGAAATGTGAATCTGGAGTGGGTTTCACGTTGGCAATGGCATAACTGTGCTTTAAGCATTTTGTATTTAACTTTAATTTCATTTCTGAGTGCAGAATACAGCAATTAGGTGGGTTGTTCGGAATGTTCGCGGACTTTTGTCATAACTTTTTTTTTTTACTTTACGTCATATTATATCCAAATTTGTTAGAAATGTTTTGACAATAAATTCGAATTATGCGTATTAATTTTTTTCAATATTGTGATTTTTTTTTCAAAGATATTCAGAATTAAAATCGTAGAGCAGATCAAAATTTAGTAATTTACAAACAATACACTTATTAATGTGTGTAGTCATATCCTCTGTAAACAAAATCCTTTATGTTCAAATTAAAAAAAAATTGTTACCTCGTTTCATATTTAAAATTATGATTTAATATTTTGCTTCGAGTAAAAGAAATTAATTTCAGAAGATATATACATAGTCCTCATTGAAAAGGCCAAAAAAGATTACGTTGTAGAACGTCACGGTAACGATACAATATGTATTATACTGGAGAAAACTTCAGAATAAACTCTAAAAATGCTGGAAGAAGCACGAAATATGTCAAAACGCCTTAGTGTGTACATGGCGAGTCGGTATTTGAAGGATAGAAACTGTATCAGACGAAGACGATCTGCGAGAAAACTGATTATATGTAAAAATCTTATCAAAAAACTTTAAAAAAGTTATTAAGTCATGGATAGAGATAACCGCTTCCACAGTTGCTGATCTTGTGAAAACACAAGTTACGCAGTGAAAAAAAAATAAAACATTGACAAAGAAAATTATGCTACTGTAATAATTGTTAGCTAATTACAATTCAAGTGATAGAGAAAGGTTTATAATGACTGAGTATTGGACCATACTATGTGAAATGTATAGGGAGAGTATTTTTGAGAAACTCATTACGCTATGTTTTCGACGTTATAATGAGAAAAAGTTTGCGCCTAGGTTTCAAAAATATTAAGTAGCATTATTTCTATCAAATCACATGTAATAAATATCTTTATATATGACAATGTGCTCAGTTTAAACTTCTTGAAAAAAAAGTACATGTATAACGAAGATTTACATGGTCCGCGAACTTTCCAAACAACCCTCGTATATAAGAGATCAGTAGAATCAAAGAGAACCTCCTTAAAAATATTCCAGTGTAGTACTGCTTTGTAGATACCACGTATTTTCGGTCTTTTCCGGAAAGCTCGAAAAACATTCGGGATCAGGGAGAATAGTTAAGAAAAGCTAGAATTTTCATATGATTTTAGAAAACAACTGTTCTCTACGGTATTTGCATTCTAAGATCTTAATTATTACCTCTGTTTTACATCTATGTACAGGTTAGACACACACACACAAAAAAGGAAATTTCTAAGCATTTTTATTTTCAGATGTCGAGTATGTATTATCCGGTAAAAAAGACTCAAGTAGTTGTTAATTCTTGAGACAAAACTAGCGAAAAGAAATCAAAGCAATGATGCAGTACTGAAAGACGGGGTCAAAAATAATAAATTTTATGATTTTATAAATTTCATTACCGCATTTTTTAAAATAGAAGTTTGATACCAAGTTAAATTTTTAGGCATTTGTTATTTAAAAAAGACATTGTAAAAGATAAATCTTCACCTTTCTCATTTACTCTGTAATAGATTAATCAGTAATCACTAGTCAAGATACCTTTTTTGTATTGTCCGAATTTCACAGGGCCTGAATTATTATTATTATTATTATTAAACAATCGATGACGCGAAGGCAGTCTAATACAACATGCAACCGAGTATTTTGTATATTCTTGAATGACCAGAATGAAATATTAAATTTCTTAACATCAAACTGTTACTGTAAAAAAGAAAGGAAAAATAAAAGACACTGATGCGAATCACAAATTGTAGATTTTTCTCTTCTTTATTCATTTGGAGAAAAATAGAACATATATTCAAACACAAAGAGGAAGTACATAAAACAAAAGTCTCAACGAAAAACTTCTTTTCATGCAGAAGATTTTGAATAATTCTGTTTCATAAGAATAAGTCTGATCCATTGGAGAAGGTAAGTGAATTCTATTTTTCATCCCTATCCAAATCTATTACTGATTAGTGACAAAATCATAATTATGTATATTGATTGTAATTTTTCTTTAGAGGATGGCCGTACATCTGGGGCAGAATTTTATCTTGAAATCTGTCTGAAGGACCTCTAAGAAGAGCAGAGTTGTGTGCAAGAAACATGATCCCATTATCACCAATAAGGAATCCTTTTCATAAAAGTAAAATGTGCGTATGAAATGTTGGAAATAAACATTACTACGTTTACATCATTGAGGATCCTATACCGGAGCTTGCCAGCAGAAGCTGATTCTGTAAGTTTATGTATTAACTCAGTTAAAGGATTTCTAAACAACCCTGCTCCAAATTTGTCTTATTCCTTATCCAGTGGACGTTTGACTTGGATTACTGTTCATTATCTTCATATTTCATCCATTCCATTGGTATTTACCATTAGATCCTTACCCATGTTATTGGTCAGTAAACATGCAACATCCCAGAATAATTCCCGACGAAATGTATTTGCGTTTTATGTTTTATATGGGATTTCGTCCATAATAGAAAAGTATTTTACAAACATATTGGAATTTTAGGCCACTTCAATTGGACTACCATCGATGAAATAACATATGACGTTTTCATGACTGATATATATATTTTTACTATCAAAAACTAATCATTAATTTAAACATAGCCAATATGAGCAAAGGGTTTGAAATTGTGAGTATTGTGTAGTTGAACGAGTTAAACATCTATATGACAAAATAGCACAAGATCTTTACAAGTAATGCTATTTTTTAATGGTATGTGCAAGTCAATTAAAAAGAATGAGATAAAACTATCAGGCTGATGTTACAATATCTCCGGATCCATTCAAAGTAGAATGGATATTGCTCCAAAAATCTTTTTCCTCTGGATCATCCTTTGGATACTCAATGTAAGATTTTTTATCCATCAATTCACGAAGATATAGCGGTATTTGGGGATGAGATAAAACCTTGTAAAGAACGACAAACAGCATCTCCTCTCCTGCTCTTTCGTAGAAACTTTCCATTTGCGCCATTCTTAATTCAAACATACACCAATACGATTTTACAAATTCTGGCGAGAGCACGAACACAGTGTATCGACTTTGATTAATTGCCGTTGATATATTTTCTGCAATGTCATATCCGGGAACAAAGTCCCGGAAGTGAAGACATAATTTTAGGTTCCCTTTACTTTCTAGCATTGGTAACATTTTCTTTATCACAAAATCTCTGTCCTCATCAGCATGAGAAATGAAAGCATCATATTTGTACATCGTATGATTCTTGAGTGATTTATACCCGTGAAATTTACTTTTGGTCATGTAATAAAAATATCGAACCTTCCATCGGTATCGGTATACTATTCTTGTAAATAGCAGAACAAGAAACAAGATTATCAATACCAAAATTCCTGCTGCTAACTCAGAATATGGTCCACATCGCATATCTAATTCAATCAGGATTTTTCTGTCATTGAAGGAGAAAATTCTTTTATCCTCAGTGGAGCAATTGTAGCTTTCAAATGACATAAAGTTGATGTTCTTCTTTTGTTTTTGAAACATCCACTTAATGAACACTTTTGTTTCACAGTTACAAAGTAAAGGATTATTACGTAGATCTAATATTAACGGAAAATCCCTCCAGTTTGCTATTTCATCCAAGGTACGTCTTGTTGATCCTGATAGTGATGATAATCGATTATTTGATACGTTTAAAACTTTTAGGTTTTTCATATGGTTGAATTTGAATACAATGTGATCCATTGAATTAAAACTAAGGTCAAGTGTCGAAACTTTAGAGAGAGATTGGAAGACGTTTTTAGAAAGAGACACAACTTCATTATTGCTTAAGTCCAGATGTGTCAAATTTGTTAAATTCTTTAGAATCTTACCATTTACATCTTTAGCTAGAAAAATACCTAGTTTATTATTGGATAGTTGAAGATTTTCAATAGAATTAAAAAAATCAAAGAAAAAATTTGATACATATTTGCAATTATTTTTGGATAAGTTTAAAGTCTTTAACTTTGTTAATCCAATGATTGGTCCTATCCACTTAGACACTTGATTTCCCTGCAATGAAAGGCTTTCTAAGTTATTTACTAAAAATATAACTTTTGGGACATCATATCCCAATGAACTATGGACCAAATACATAATTTTTAACTTTGGTGGCAGCGGAAAAAATAATGGAAACCGTGAATTTTCTCTGCGTTTTTTTGGAGAGTTTGGAACAAAACCAACACTTCTTTTGGTAATTTTGTAACTTTTCACTGATAAGGGCACATCATCTTTGCAGTTTAAATCGGTGATGAAATTACCGCCGATCAAATCGTGAGAAGAGAATGTTTGACTTACATTTAACCATACAAGATTTCTCAGTGCATTAAACTGGAAGATATATATGCCTTGTGTAAGGCGATTGTCAGCTAATGATAGGGCTTTTAGTCGTCGGAAAATCCATGTTACATTGGACTCCAACAACTCGATTTTATTGCTATCCAAATACAATTCTGCTATCGATGTATTTTGTAGATACTTAACATCGTCCAAAGTGACTTTTGTTCCCATTCCAAAAATGCAGTGTATTTGTTTAATTCTCAAAATATCTATTGATGTGAATTGTAAATCAAAAGTAAGGTTTTTAAGATTTCTAAATGTAAATTCCTTATTATATGATAAATCTAGTTCTTTTAGATACAACAATCCAGAAAATGCATTTAATTGCGAGGATTTTATTTCACAGTGGGTCATATATAATGTCCTTAAATGATTCAAGTATCTGAAATAATTTTTTTCAATTGTTTTGATTTGACAGTGTCCGCCATTGTTTCCCGAAATATCCAAATAAAAGAGGTATTTCAGATGCGAAAAACTGCTACCGAATGTGCTATTAGGAAGTCCATTGATAGACAGATGGCTCAACTGAGAGAGTAATGAGAGACTTTTAGGATATATCTCATTGTTTGGAGATTCCGGGTTCTCTACCTTTATGTTAAGAGCTTTTAAATTGTAATAAGGGTTCAAACACTGAAGGAGGAAAAGTTTCATCGTTTAATTTGAACTTGTTATTAGAAATATTAAGCGTTCTGAGCATTGTCAAATTCTCAAAAGGGTTATTGTGAAAACTCGGTATGTCATTGTATGACAAATCTAAATACATTAGCAATCTCAGATACGATAGTTTTGGACAGTTAGTTATATTATTGTAGCTTGCATCTATTTGAGTCACTGCCTGTGAGAATTTGGGAAGAACTTTCAATCCTTTTCCAGAACAATCTGCTTTTAGGCCACCTTGAAGATGTATGCAACGACATTTGGGGTCTTCAGAGCACAGAGTTGAGTTCATTTGTGTTCCTCTCAAGATGATAAAAATCACTAAAATGGTAATTTTTTCCCACATTCTCTGTGCTTAAAAACAAAAGATAATATAAATTAAGTTGTGGTATAAGCAAAATTTAAAGTAGTCAAAATCCAATAAAACACTTGGAAGTATTATTTGTCTGTATATCGTCAAAAAATTTTTGATATTAATTATTTCTTTCTTTCAACAAAACTAACAGCTTTACTGAAAGGTGTAATGTAATCTGTGTATTTTAAATTACAAAAAAGATTATTAAAAAGTTTATTATACACACTGAGAACGATAATCACATGAATTGTTCATGTCTTTGCTGGTTAATTTTATATGCAGTGAATATTTTACAAACTAAAATCTATCTTACAAGCCCGAGCGAATGGGTGTTGGGGGGAGGTGGGAGGTATCCATTAGATTCATCTCTCTTTAGACAAAATATTTTATGTGGTCACTTCTGTAATGAAAATTGCTTCAATAATCCGGACGGCGACTTTTTAAATGTGAGTTGACTTGATGGACCAGTTTTTAAATTTCTTTTAAATGTGGCAAATGTTATGATCAGTGTACTGTTTATAGACCTGCTGGTATGCTATCAAAAATGTCCTACAATAGTCCAGTTAGCAAATACAACCTGTCATTGGGTCGTATTTTGTCTGATTAGTTTCATACCAATTGTTAGGCTGTTGTTTATGTACTAAATTTGACTACGGATTTTTCCGTCTACCTGATCAATACATAAGGCTCACGGTGGGTGAAACTGGTCGACAAGGGATGCTTAATCCTCTTTCGCACCTGATCCCACCTCTGGAATTAATGCCCTATTCACAGATCTGTATTGTTTGTAGATTTTGTTGAGATCAATCACTGTTCCTTATCCTTCTCTTTTTTATCCTTCCTAAGATGCCACTTATAAAGATGTCCAAGGACAAAACATAAATATAAGGTCATAGTTCTAACGATAACATAGAGGCTCTCATAGGACTGTGGTAAGCACATGTAGGATAGATTTAGGGGACTTAGGAGATTCTCAGTTTAATTATTTAGACTATGTCTACATATCAAATAAACAGTATTATTAGAACAATATTTTCATGATTTGCGAAATTCAATAAAGATGTGTATTTTTACTACCAAAGTCCACTTCGTGATCGGGAGGCCCGGGTTTGATTCTAGTTCGCCGAGCCGCGTCAAAACCTAAGACGTTAACATAGATAGTGATTGTTCCTTCGCCAAGCGCCCGACATTAAAAGTGAAAGTCACGGGTCTTTCGGATGTGACCTTGAAAACCGAGGCCCCGTGTCACGGTAGGTGTTCACACTATAAAGAACCCTCACTGCATAATGGCCCTGAGTGCCGAGCATAAGTCTAAATTTAAAACTCTTCACCGGTATATGGTGACGTCTCTATTTGAGTGAACGATTCTCGAATAGGACGTAAAACAACATACAATCAATCATTCCTATTATCAACATTGTTTATACTTTAGTGCTTGGTAGTTTACTTGATTAAGATACTTGATAGTTTATATTTTACTCCAACTCAACATTTTATTCATTCTTTTAAAAAAACAAAAAAAAACAAAACTATTTTTGTTAATCAATTGATTAACACTGTCCACTTCTCAGCTATTAGGTCCGGTTTTGTAAAAACCATCTGTAGGAGAGATTTCTTAAGTAAAAGGAGTAAGCATCCCATGTTGACCAGTCACACTGGTCGCCAGCCCTTTGTATTGATCAGGTAGACAAATTTAATATAAAAGCAAAGGCCTAATAATTGGTACGAAAAAACGTCGGCCAAAATAGAACCCATTGATAGCTCATATTTGCTAACTAGATCATTACAATGACCATAGCATTTACGAAATGCTGACTTTAATCGAGGTTTTTGAAATCCCTGTTACATCTAATTGTCTGTCACTAGCCGGCCTCGGTTTAAAATGGTTTCAGAACATGCTCTTGAGTATCGGATAAGTTGGTATATGCAAAACTCATATGTATCTGAAGTTGGAATATCACGACATAAATAAGGAAAGTTGATGAAAAAAAGTCATCTCGTTTAGTTGTTGGTATCCAAAGGAAAGTCTTGTCACAAGGATTACACATGTGAAGTATGAAATCCCTAGCACCAACCGTTCAAAATTTATGGCCAAACAATTTATTTGTTAGTTGGTCCTTATAGTCTACAGACAGTACAACATCCAAATATGAAACAGATGTTGCAAACTCTGTGGTATCTTTATTTTGAGTTAATTGGGATATATCGAATCGTCATATGAATAGAAAAAGCTATTTTAATTGATAAAACTTCGTCAATATATCGAGTTGAAGGTCACAGTAACTGTTTTCTTTTTCTTGAGTAGAAGTTTGTGATGAAATGTATGGAGAAAAAAAACAGTATTTAAGCTCAAAAGTCCATTAAACAATACAAATTTTGGAGCAGAGAAAACAACAGAGGTGGGATCAGGTACCATGGAGGAGTGAGCATCCCCTGCCGACCGGTCACACCCGTCTGTGCTCCTTGTCATGATCGGGAAATAACGAAAAAATCCGTAAACAATTCAGTGTGTAAATAATGGCCTAACAATTAGTATGAAATAAGTCAGTCAGCGTTTGACTCAATGATAAATTGTATTTAGTGAAAAGGTCATTGTATCGACCATAGAACTTACGAAATGACGACTTTAAACGAGACTGCTGATATTCTTGTTTCATCAACTTGTTTGTCAATAATTTACCTCGTTTTAGAAATTGTTCGTACGTAGAGCATGCTCTTGCGTATCGAATCAACTGAGAGATATAAACCGCGTATGCACGTGATGAAGGTATATTGCTGCATAAGTAAGGGAAGTTGACGATTGAAAAGTTAAAGTCATCACGTTTATCATCAAGCTTGATTGTTAGATTACCATTAACGTCTTTTTCTAGTAAAATATTCAAGTATGAAACAAATGTGTCAGATTCTGTGGTATCTTTTATATCTAGCTCACTTGAATATATTGTATCGACATAAGAATGGAAATAACCATTGTTAATTGACAATACGTCATCGATATATCTAAATGTCGAGTTGAAGGCCACAGCAAGCGTGTCTTCTTTTCTTGTATAAGATTTTGAACAAATTCTGCTTCATAGGAATACAAAAATAGGTCTGCTAATAACGGGGCGCAATTGATACCCATGGGAATTCCAATAGGTTGTTGGAAGACTTGGTCTCCAAAAACCACATAGATATTGTCAATCAGAAACTCAAGCATCTTTTTAAAATCAAATTCAGAGTACATGTGCGTACATTCAGAATGTTTTTAACAAAATAATTTTCAAATGACCAATGACAAAGTAAGTAAATTTAGGAGTTCCATTTTCATTGAAAAGGCAGCTGTCAATGATATTAAAAAGCCTGTAGACCTTTTCACAAAAATTCTTACGATTTATCGTAAGAATTTGAGTTACGATTCTCTAAAGATAAATCTTACGTCAGTTTCACAAACGCACTCGTAAGTAAAAAAAATTCGTACGACAATTCTTACGATTTTAGTCTACGTGCGAACTTACGATTTCACTTACGACAAAAAGCTTCCCTGACAACCTACTTTCGTTTCTTTTGCATATGCGCGGTACATATTTCCGTGTTTACATCGGTGTCGTCTATACGCCCCCCCCCCCCAAAAAAAATGGATAAATTGGCAAAGAGAAAACCGAACTGGACAAATGCAAATAGAGGTGCTGGTACAAGCTGTCACAGATAATATTAAGTTGGTAAAAGGAAAATTCACACCATCTATAACCAATGAAGTCAAAAATCGTTGCTGGGCCGAGATAACGTCACATGGACTTTAATTCATCGTGAAGAATGTTTGTTTATAAAGTTGAAAAGTCGTAAGTTTTCATGTTGTTGATTTAGTAAAATTTTGTGATTTCAAATTTTCCAAAAGTTCCTTGAAATTTTTAAGTATCCACATCTGATTTACACTGCTTCTCGAATATATTGCTGCACAGTGCTCCTGAAGTTTCTCCTTCACTACTTTTAATATTTCAAGGAGGAGTAAAGAAAGAGGCTTGGGGGAACATTTACTGGAACCTGCTATGTATCTTTGTTTGTAAGGATTTTTATGAAGTTTCCGAATACATTATAGATATAGTAATTCAAATTCATTATGGTTGTTGGGAATATTAAAAATATTGAAAACTGACATATGAATTTGAAGAATGTCCTCCTGATATGTGGAGATAACGAAAAGGAATCAAGCTCAAAAGTCCATTGAAACAATGCATATCGGGAGCAGAGCAAACACAGACCTCCAAAAAACACCAGAGGCGGGATCAGGCGCCAAGGTGGAGTGAGCATCCCCTGTCAATCAGTCACAACCCGCCATATGCTCGTTGTCATGACCGGGTAAACGGACAAATCGGTAGGCAATTCAATGTTTAAATAATGGCCAAACAATTTGTATGAAAAACGTTGGTCAGCATTCGACTTAATGATAGATTGTATTTGCTGACAAGATCATTGTATCGACCAAAAAACTGTTAAAAATGATGGCTTAAAACGAGACTGTTGATATCCTTGTTTAATCAACGTGTTTGTCAATAGCTTGCCTCGTTTTAGAAATTGTCCATGCTGTACGTAGAGCATGCTATTGTATATCATATCAACTTTGAGATATAAACACCATATATAGGTGATATGGGTATTTTGCTACATAAGTAAGAGACGTTGACATAGAAAAGTTGTAGTCATCACGTTTATCATAAAGCTTTGTTGTTAGATTACTATTAAAGTCTTTGTTGTTTGGTTACCATTTACATCCTTTCCTACATGTAGTAAAATATCCTAACATACAACAGATGTGTCAGACTGGTATCTTTTTGTGTGGTATCTTTTATTTTAATTTCACTGGGATATATAAAGTGGACATATGAATGAAGGTAACTATCGTTAATTGATAATAAGTCGTCGATATATCTAAATGTCGAGTTGAATACCACAGCAAGTTTCTTCATCTCATGTAGAAGTTTTTGAATAAATTCTGCTTCATATGATTATGAATACATAAATAAATCTGCTAATAAAGGGGCGCACTTAATACGCATATGAATAAATTATGCTTCATAGGAATATAAAACAGAATTTTTCTTGACACCGGTTCCATTGAGTCCGGATAAAGAGTTGTTTAGATACAACATGGAACACCACTGGTGCATATGACGAGAATCCCATACCTCAGAAGAGAGAGAGAGAAAGAGAGAGAGAGAGAGAGAGGGAGAGAGAGAGAGAGAGAGAGAGAGAGCTGTTAAATAATATCTTTTTTCTTCTGAAAACAATTTTCCTAAATCCCTTAATTGAATTTTGCTTCGAAATTGTAGGTTTTAAAGCATGGTTGGCAGTTTTTTCCACTGATAATTAAGTAACTTCTACTGCATGTTGAAATCTTAATGAGTTTTAGAATACACAATTTCGCCTGTTATCTCGTGAATTTCAGACATTCAATACGACTAGTTACACTCTCTTGCACAGGGCACCTGTGAATTTGATATCTAATTGTGTAATTCACTTTTTCGGCTAATTTATTTAGAATATCATATGACTACAGGAACTAATGTTAGCTTTATAATGGTACCGACTCTTGTGACAACGAGGGTAAAAAAAATTATCAAACAATGTGCTGATCTAGATATTTCATTGATGCAAAGTATGAATTTAAAACATATTGAAAGAGGGATTTTATAGGGCTATAAATTCTGATATTATAGTATCTGATTTTTATATTTCCTTGAATTGATTTGTGTAATTGTGTTAATCTATACAACTTCACCAATAAAATGAATATATTACTTGCATAAATGTATAATTGTGTATGTTGAAAACCTACTTCATGATTCATTGCTTTTGTATAGATGAGGTATATACAACCAGACGATTTGGCCCAGAACTAAATTATCTGAGTTTATAAGGATCCACTGTTTATCACTTCCGTAAGATTTCCTTTAATGAGATATAACAAAAACTATCAATCGTCAATATTTTGTGTTTGAAAATTATGCTCAAGTAAAAAAAGGCTTATATTTTTTACTGAACTTGATAAATCTAATAAGTTAAATTTGTCTGAGCTATGATATGTGTCCGATCAATAGTGAAATTATCTTGTAGGAAAAGGGAAAATAAATTTCAGTGCAAGATTAACTACAGTTATTGTCTAGATATGAAACTTGCTATAGTTTGAACATTGAATATTAGTCTGTATATCTTGAAAAAGAATGAGAATTAATAAAAGACGCTCACAGAAAAATTTGTGGAATACTAAATGACCTACATTATTTTACAGGATGATAGATTTAGTTACATTTAGATGTAGTTAAAAAATTTTATGGATGTGTCATTCCAAGTTTTTGTGAGTTTTTTGTGAGTCTGACAAATTAAAGTTAAACAAAATTGCATAAAAAATATTGGTCCAGCCCGTTAAGCAAAATGGGATCAATTTGAAATTAGTTGCAGTTGACAAAATATATTATGATATAGAAGTAATAAAATCTAGTTTGTCCCCATTAAAAAAATTCTTTCGTATAAAGGAGATAGCATTGTTTGTCATCTTCACTTTTTTCACATGAATTTTAAATGCTTGTATTCAACATCATAATAAACACAAAAAGAAGAAAATTGAATACTTTTACTTACCGTTCTTATGTCTGGCCCTTCCTGCTTATGAAGTAAATTGTATCATATAACAGGAACTCCAGAAATGTGGTTTCTGTAGTCTGTAGTGAACAAGGTTCACGATCTAAAAAAAAGGTGAAAGAAAGTAAGTACTTAAATCCTTTCCTATTGGCTTTCAGGCAATTACGGTTACGAAATAGTCTCAAAGAGCTGTACAAAGACATTTAAATCACCGATTGCTATTGTATTCGCTACCTTTCATCCAAAAATGGACGCTATATCACATGACAGAATAATTGAATATGAATGTGTACATGATCTCAACATTTTGAATGCTCAACCTCATTAAACACAATAAATTGTGAACCAATCAAAGACTGTTGTTGTGTCAACTCATTTAGCAAGGGGCACTCCACAGGAGTCGCGCTTGCTTTCTGAAGTCAATCAATATACATGTAAGTGCGAGGTCAGAGAATCGGGCATGACGGTATAAATATTTGACATCTATCTTTTCAGGTTACAATGTTTTGGCGAATTATTTCTGATTTTAATTACGTTATAAAAATGTTTTCTTTAAACATGGAATGATTCTGGTTATACTCAATACTCAGGTTTTGACTGTTGATACCCCTAGACCTTCTTATTCAAACCTACCGAAGTGTGAATGTGTGGAAAGGTGTATATATATATATATATATATATATATATATATATATATATATATATATATATATATATATATATATATATATATATATATATATATATATATATATGTGCAGTATCATTTAAAATTTGAATTAAAAATGCATTGAATATATTCACTTTCTGTTTATGTATGCCCTTCCTGGTTGTGAAACATCAGATAACAGAGACCCCAACAAATGCGAAATTCATGATCTAAATATAAGGTCATATTTCACAATGGCCCACAGATAATTGCGCAGTTAAGAAATAGTTTCAAATGATGGTAGAAATATTTGACATCGCCCTTTCTAATCCAGATTTTGCGTGTCGTTTCTAATTTTTTTGCTTCATTATAAAAACTATTTACTACAGTACATTATGGATATATTTATTTCTAAATTTTGTTTGTTTGTTTGTTGTTTAACGTTTTTTTTAAATTTTGAATTTTACTGGTTTACATGATTCATTAGTTAATCAAAAACGGCTGTCCCTGCCTAATAGAAGTAATATATTGATGTGTATTTTTCCAGACTTAGTTGCTTTGTTATTGAACTATGGAAACTTTACAGGATTGTATTATACTCAGGTGACTTAAAGCCTTTATATGCCTTAGAACTATAAAAATCAAAGAGGGGAATTGCGAATACTCTTATTTTGTAATTCTTTTCTTTTAAATAAGATAAAAAATATTTCTTTACACATTTGTTTTTTTCATCGTTCGCTCGATCATGACAGGGAGGACCTGATTCTACCTTTGATGTTTTTAGAGGCCCGTGTTCGTACTATTCTTAATTTGTATTGTTTCAATGGACTTTTGAGCTTGATTGCTCTTCGTTATCTTTATATTTCATCCATTAGCCATTGGGACATATGAAGTCATACATCATGATCACAGTCGTTATTTTCCCCTATAATGTAATGTACTTTCATCTTTCTGACAAATGTGAAATATAAACTATGTACTGTAAATAAACACTTTCTGTACAAGGATAGAAAACAAAAGGCTTGTATTATCGTTATACAAAATACACATTGCTTTCCGAATAACAATAAACGGGAGTCAAAATAAGACAACCTTCCTCACAATGAAGTTTATAATCTGCGAACGATTACTGATAAAAAACGACATTCAAAGAAATTAGTTATAAAAAGGAGAAAATGCGAACATTATTGTTGAAGTTCAACAATTTTTGAAGAACATTATATCCATTTTTTTCTTAATAGAGGATTATTCGCATTAATAACATTAATAATGTTCTTTATCTGCGTGAAATGTTGCAAAGATTAAATTTTGCGAAAAATTTTCAGGGAGCAATGTTCCGACTTCTACGACAGTAATTTAGCTACTATAGTATATTCCACATATGGCGCTCGTATTGTATATAAAATATTTAGCAATGTTGATCAGGCAAGCTCCCAGCGGTATTATGTTTCAATTTCAAAGGTATTAATTTCAGAAAAAAAAATATTGAAATTTCACTTTCACTGTAATTTGACGATTTGTAAATTAATTTTCCATTCTTTAATTATTATTGTTTTACAAATCGGCTTAATTTTAAAACGTGACTGTTGCCAATATATGTAAAACGGTGATAGACGTGGCAAATAAAGTGTATATGAACAAGTAAGCTTTCATGGATTTTTTTCCTAGCGACAGAGGTATAAGAAATGTCTAACCGAAATAGGTACCATGTTTGTTAAAATCGGAGGAAAACCTGCAATTGATACAATCCTCTAAAATATTTCTAAGAAGGTATTTTATAAGTCCTTGAAAGGATAATAGATAACATTTGAGGACAGTCATTGCAATAAACGTTTTTGTCACTGTTGACACCAATATATTAAAACAGACTTTAAAATAAAATTAAAAAATACCGAATTTGGTTGATTTTTTTCCGCCAAAGTTGACGTCCAGATGAATACAACAATTAAAATTTAATAGTTAGAATTTAAACTTTAACTTTACATGCAGGTCAATTGCATCAATTTACATCCATTTATGGAAAGCAGTTGCCTTTTGATTAAATTTATTTCATAAGAAAATCTGTAGCTAAAAGCTGAAAATAAAATATCCAAGATAATATTTATAAATATCAATTTTATTCAAGACTACATTTCAGAACACAAAAGGACATTTAAAAGCGAGACCGTAAGCTTGTTTAACAAATTAAACAAAATTAGATAAACAGCAAAAACAACACATATGTAAATTCAGTGAAAATGATGGAAAAATTTTTCACAACTATTAACCTGACAAACAAAATGTTTGCCTGAATGAAGAGAAAATTTTATTTGTAAAGCATCATACTGTACTTTCGGTTAATTACAATAAATTCTGAAAAGAAGAAAATGCAGAGCAACAACACGTAGTTTAATTAGATGACCACCTGACACTATATTAATGATAAAATGAATAATAAAAAATAGCTCTTGTGACACAAATTAGCCTAACATATAAGTAGCATTTCATGAGTGTTTTCATCCATCAATTTACTTAACCAATGATTACACTGATTTGGAAAGAGGTCTACATGTAACCAGTAACAAAAGAAGGTTATTGCAGAGCATTAAAAAGCTAATACAGCGTATCATTTCATTAAAAAAAATGTTTTAAAGGTTTTGTTATAAAATGACACTATTTAGCGAATTTTTCAAGTCAAATTTTTCTAGTTTATACAAATACAGAAAATGAAGGCCTGTATCTATTTTTTTTTAAAATCAAATCATTAACAGAAATAGCTAACATTTTCTTATAAATAGTAACATTGACATTAAACAATAAAGTAAGCTAGATAAATTCCAATCCCACCAATGAGTTTTTCAATATCGATTGAAATTAACAATTTCTACCTTTTCCACCGTGTATCTCTTAATTGTGTATTTATAATTAGCACCTGTTTTCCTGGCATATTTAGAGTTCTGAGGCGATTTTGCATTTATAAAAAAGCTTGGAAAATTCAATGCGAAATGTCTTGCTAAAACTGGCATAAATTACAAGATCTAGAGGTTTTCCGATTACAAAGGATATTGTCATTATGGTATTGTATATTCCCTGAGCATCAAGGAGGACTGACATATCATTAGATGTTAAAAGAAATGTGGCATATGTAAAAAGTGGGACCTCCTGTACGATAAATGATAAGCCAAGAATAATGTTCAATTTCATTAAAATGAGGTATTTTATTTTACTTTTCTTTCCAGTCTCTGGTGCCAAAACGGACAAAAACTTTAATTGTTTTCGCATTAAAAGTGTAAGTAAAATTACCAACACAATATCCAAAATTGTTGGTAAAGCCAAGAAGTAGATGTATAAGAAATGCCTTCCATAGTTTTGAAGGAAGTAAAAGGTGAAACTTTCATAAAAACCTGAGTTTAAATCCATCGTACAAGCTTGGATAATTTTAGACTTGTGATCTTTGCCAGGAACTTGAAACGTCCAAACCCCTTTCAATGGCATACCAGAACCCCAAACTAAGGATACAGACAAAAAACTCAAATGAATTACAGCAAAAATCATAAAAAATGGCTTTAAGTTCCAAAACTTCCATTTTAAAGGAAATGCAACGATTATATATTGAGAAAAAGACATGAAGCACTTGATCCAAATTGATGTTCCATGAAGATTAGTTTGCAAGTTAAAAGAAGCTAGTACGAACCGACAGATTTTGTATTCTATATACCCATAATCCATTTTTAGAAATGTAAGAGCACCATCTCGAATTCCAGTTAAAAGTGTGCAAAGAAGGTCCAGAAGCATAATGGCGACTAGGTACTTCTGAGTGTAGCCGAACAGCTTTGCTCGCTTGAAGACAGCCAGGAGTATAACGGTGACAATAAATGGAAGTAGCCACAAGTACGGGGTAAGCTTAATAAAGTGTGTAGATTCCCCGTACCAATCTTTAAATAAAATACCATGTCCAAGCTCAACTTCATGATTTATCATTTTTCTAATAATTTCTTCTGGGTATTTCCTCAGGATTTCTTCTGGGTATTTCCTCACGACACTAAAATTCATTTTTTTGTTCTGATGTTTTTGCGATAACTTTCCTGCAGATGTATGCAAAGAAATATACTCCTTTTACTGAGGCTGAAGGAAATTTATTCCTTTTTGATTGAAAACAAATGAAAATTTATTGTATTTATAACATGTTTGTTTCAATATAAATTTCAAAAATTAATTAAAAATAGATCACTTGGCATGACATATTGTATTTCAATATGCCGGTCAAGAGAATATGAAAATTTTATCGGCATAAAACAAGTTATTATCTTTCAATAACAAAAATAATCTGTGGACTGTATTGTTGAATCTTATTTTAATTAATTTATTCTCGTCAGGTTTAAGAGAAAGTAAAAGTACTATCATTCTAATAACAGAGTGTCAGTTCGCTTGATCAAACGTGCTAAACTGTGACACGTTGA